ACACACACACACACACACACACACACACACACACACACACACACTCACACTCAGACACGCACGCACGCGCACGAGCACACGCACACACACACACGCGCGCGCGCGCACGCACGCACGCACGCATGCGCACACACACAAATATATATATATATATATATAGATGTGTGTGTAACAGTTTACGATAACTTTCGTGAGAAAAAAATACGATACTCAAAAATACGATATCGGTCACTAGGCGGCACTGACATCGATCAATCATGGCAGCGCCCTTATATAATTCACATACATTCCTTTGGGGAATTTGTAAAGCGATTTATATTTGTGAAGCCTTTCATTGAAAGTAATTTATGAGAGTACAGGCTATAGACTTAGGTGCTAAATTGGTATTATATTTATCATGCATAGTCAATCATATTTGAGGTTTTACCATGGTGGCCGTTTACTTACTTTTGCGTGCAACTCAGTACACACCCGATTACTCTCAACTAGTACTAGTAGTAGTAGTAGTAGTAGTAGGCCTAACCTCATGGATCCATTTTCCGAGCCAAATAAGAAGACCGTGCAGTCTAAGCTCGATACTGTGAAACCTGTTCGGAATAATTGGATTGCTGGTGGCACCACTGCTGCTGCTGCAGTGCTGGTCCCGCTGTGTATATGTGACGGAGAACCATGTATACTCTACACCCTGCGATCGAGCAAACTCGTACAACACCGCGGTGAAGTGAGGTAACAAACAGCACAGTGGCTATATCCCCGGCAGCCGGGCACGGTCTTCGATTTCCTAAATGCCCGGCAGTCCACATCCACATCCATGCATGCACATCCATGTATGCATGCACATCCATAATATATAATTCCAATAAAGCTGATAGGGTCTATTTCCCCCAGGGTACTGCCGGAACGTACCGGAACGTACCGGAACGTACCCTGGTAACTATCTGATATGCCGGACCGTACCTCGCTTACTCCCTACCGTACCCTGACTGTCCCTGTTCTGCCCACTACTGATGTTTCAAAATTTGAAATATACATACAGACCTGTATGATATCTTTATCAAGTTGGATTGGAGTATGAAACTGTGAAACCAAGAAGAAATTTCAACCTATATACACTGATGTGCGCAATCCTTTTGCAAATATCGTGATGATCTCGCATTTCGCGCGAGATTTTTGAAAGATGGCTCCAAGTGTTGTGGTGGTGTACCGTAGTATTTGGACGCTCGCCTGAAACTGGACGCTCCTAAGTGCGCATGCGCGAAGGCGCCTCTTGTTTTGCAAGGGCGCATGCGCAGCATGCGCAGTAGTCATCTGCACATTTCGCCCATCAAAAAAGGTCGCAATAAACAAACATGGCAGCCAACCCGGTCACTCATGGAAACATTTGATTGAAACAATTTGCAATGTAGTAAGTTAGTAAGACTGTGTTATGCGTGTCAGGTTACAAGGCGAAACAAAAAGAAAACAAAAGAGCATGGCTACTATTTCCTACGGCCCTGCAAAACAAGATTCAAACAAAAAGAAAACATAGGGGAGACTGAGACACAGTAAAGACTGAGACAGAGGGAAGGCTGAGATGCAGGGAAGACTGAGAGAAGACTGATACTGAGGTAAGCTTGGACACAGGAAAGACTGAGTGAAAGGAAAGACTTGATATGTAGAGGCAGGAACAAGACATTGGGAATGCCACAAGTAGGAAATCTAGGAGCCTAATTTCAAATGCTAATACATTCCTATTTTCTGTATCAAACGAAATGTCAATAAATTATAATGATCAGCAGTCTTTTATACGTACGGCACATACATGCTCATAGGTGTACTACTGTTAACCTGCCTATGCAAATATGAAAAGATAAGCGAACTGATAAAATGCTCCATTGCTACCTTACTGCCGATCGACCCATAGTACTACATTAAATATCATAAACTATCTACTGTTTCAAACATCATATAAATTTGTACATAATAATAGACAGACGATTTCCAAAATCACTTACCTTTAAACCATGCAACTGATCTGCACTCAGTTTTTCCAATTCACTCTCAATGAAATTGGCATTAACCTGTGCAAGAGAATCCCTAATGAAAACTATAGAAAATATTGTTCATCGTATCTTAGTAAATCTGTTCTTTATGGTCAACAAATGCTACAAGCATTTAAAGAGGTTGCACTTATCAGCATTACTATATCATAGTATTGTAGTGACATTACATTATTGTACATGTAGCACATTTATATTAATTAGACATGAAAGTACAGATTCGCGATGACAAGTCGACGGCATTGACCGCTCACCTTTAGCAAGAACAGTTCGTCCCAGAATCCTGGGTTCCCCAGGGATGGATCTTCGCCCTTTAAACAGAAACAACACACAAGCCACGTTAAGCTGGGCTACACCGTTACGCGCGTTACTTAAAGCTCGCGTACCGTAAACGACACAACAAACAATCCGACCGCGCTCGCGCCACGAATCAATCGACGGCTCGCGGGACGTTCCGTTTCGCACTCCTCCGGCCGACGCGACCGTCTCGCGCGGAGGACGCGACGACTTACTACGCCGCTGGTCCACGGAAGCGGATGTAGCTTCACCAGCTTCGGCCGGTACGCCGACGGCAGCGGCGGCCGTGAATCCACGTGAACCTGCGCCTCCATCGCGCCACTAATCGCAGGAACGATGCGTCGAACGTGAGCGGTCGCCACGTGTTCGCACGCTGCGCTGGACACACACTGCGCTAGCACTCGCCTGCGCATCGGGGCGCTCACACTGCCCCCACCGGGCGCTCACACTGCCGACCCATGATCGGAGCACACCAAGGTAAACACGTGCGCTGATTTCGGGGATCGTATCTCGATTACATTGTAGGCGCGCGGATTATTTGCGCGCGCACGTACGCAAGATTGTGCCTCGCTGGAACAGTCTATTTTCGTTCTCTCCGATAGAAAATCAGTGAGAAATCAAACTGAGCGAGAAATGGCCGACTTGGTTTTGTCACATCTATATGTTCAGGAGAAAATCAGTGAGAAATCAAACTGATATATATAGGTGACATTACATCCGCTTCTTGCGCGTGGGGGGAGGGTCCAGCATGTTGTTGGCGTGTGCAAGATGGCGTGAGATGGTCCAGCCACTGATATAGCAGTGAGACACGTCTATAACGAAATGTTATCTCATGTCACTGACACTGCATGTATTTCCTCCCAACTTCCCCCTCAAGCGCACCCACATTACACGCTTATACAAGACCGATCCTAATTCTGTAGACGTGCACCGTAACCTTATTGGTTAAACCACGTTGACGTCACAATTGCGTATGTGTGTGACTAGGATGGCTGTGTGATGCAGATAGAAAGCCATAATACAACCCACTACTCTTCGTCGCAGGTATGTGAACATACACGCACGCACGCACGTGCGAACACTCAAACGTACGCGCGCACACACGCATGCCCGTACGCCCACGTTCATATATATTTAGAAATGTTCACTCTTATCCCGGAACTTAACCCGAAACTTTTTTAACAGGTCCTGCAAGTGCCTCGCCGTTCTCCATACATCTTGGATACGCACATATGACGCTGCATTCAGATGTCAGCACACACGTAAGCATCACGGATAACTCACAGACAGCGAGAGAGGCACGCGTGGATTGCTAGCCTGCGTCTGCCGAACATATCCGTAGTTATTTCCTATGTGTGACGCCTATGCGCCCTGGATAAGGTTTACTGTGAAGACTGAAGCTACGCCGACCTGAAGGTGCTCGATTCTAACTGATCTACATACAACAACAACAACAACAACAACAACAACAACAACAACAACAGCAACACGTCTTGTGTCGGCGACCGCCGTAGAATGCGCATGGTGAAAAGGAGCGCGTGACGAACCAACTATCTTCGCTGGTGCTCTGTCTACCTGGAAGACATGCGGCGTTTACCTCAAACTGCACCATCAGTGCATGTGAACTTCTCAAATAGGAACTTTTCCATCAAGGAGAAACCCGGCCGCTTCACTGCAGTCGGTGGTGACCAGAAGCTTGAGCAAAGTATAAACCCATGATCTAAATGCAGTGACGGAATCATCGGGCATGCCAAGCAGAAGCAGTACGTTGCTCAATGGGACTTGATATACCATGAAATGATGGCAGTAAAGAATCTGCATCGGAGATATGCTGATGTGATGGAGAGAACACACGATTCCTTTAACCATCACGGGTCATCTCAAGCTACTACAGTTCGCAAGGAGTCCCATATCCAGGCAATGGTAAAATTCATTGAAGAGAAGGGCTTCCCCATGTCTCTAGGGGCTTTCCCCATGCTGCATAATTTCGTGACAAAGGAGATCATAGCAAAAGAGATTAAAAAAATGACATACTTAGTGCCTTCGCAAAAGGAGAGGAGAAGTACTTGACATTTCGACTAAAAATGTTCGTACAAAAAACCACAAGACTTAATGAAAGTATTCATCGAGCAAACCGGAAAACAATGAAAATAAATCGAAACAAGCCGCAGCAGACCATCAAGAAAGCAGTGAAGGAAATGAATGTTGTAGGGAGAACGATTGAAATCGCCCGTGATCGTGGCCTCACCACCGCGGACCTCTTGAAATATGATGTTGCACCTTCACCTCTCCTGTTCAATGAGGACGGGACGATGGTCAGCCGAGGGAAGAGCCTGTTGATTAAAGAGTTGCAGGATAATCGCAAACATGAAGACTATGGCTATAGACATCGGACGAACACTTCATATGTCTTAGACATAATGGCCACAGTTCGTAAGGTTCGTGTGACTAGCCTCTCCAGCTTCAAGAATCTCCTCTTAGGATTTGTATACATTTCGGATGTATACCATCAGTTCGGGCGATGTGACTATGTGTTCGACATGTACTCAGATGAACCCTCAGTGAAGGATAGTGAGAGAAAGAGGCGCACTGAAACTGTACCAATAGAGAACAGTTCAATTGAACCAGAGACACCTTTGCCAAAGGAGATGGAGAGATTCTGGCCGTCAAACATGACTAAGCTTCTTCTCGAGAAGCTAATCTACTGCCATCTTCGTTCAAATACTTCAGAAACATTACAATATCCCACTGTACTCGGACAAGTGACCAAAGAAGACGAGGATTGGCAGTGCATCATGGTCCATCAAGGCCTGGAAAAAGCATTGCCACACCTTAAATCGACATTTGAAGAAGCTGATCTGAATACTCATCCACGTCTTGGACTTTCTCAATGCAGGCCACAAAGTGTGTGTTGTAATGTTTCACCAACACAACATTGAGTCGCTGTGGGTGCGAGCTGGAATGGGAGATACAACTCGATATATACCCCTTCATACCCTGTTCCAGCGCCTGGGTAATCGGCTCTGTGCAGTACTGCCGGCTATACACAGTCTTACAAGGTGTTACATAACCAGCAAAGTTGGTACAAAGAAGACAGCTCTAAAGGCAGAGCCTGAAAAGTTGCTGAAACACTTCGGGGAATTACCAACCCTCTCTCCATCCATGACTCGCAACGACGATCATTACTTAGTGAAGGTACTGAAAAGAGGTAGCAATGCTAAGTGTTTCTCTGAATATCGAGCAGAGGTTTTCCACTTCAGCAAAGAGGGTTCTCTCCACAGCCTACCACCGACTAGTCAGGGACTCCGTGCATTCTACAATGCCTACACCATTAACCATGCCTTGGAGTGCCACCTCGACCCTGAAAACATTGAGACACTGAAGCCAGAG